CACCCACCCGCCTTCTGGCCGCGTTCAAGCCACACGCCGGGAGGTTAGTAGTTGGGTGGGTGACCACCAGCGAATCCCTTCTGTTGTATGTTTTTTGCCTATCGACAGATACCGTCAAGGGAAAAGCCCTCTCGTACAGCTATATCGTGTTGTAAAATATCCTTGTCGGTGTCTAAGGGCAGGTGTCCATCCAGATGCACGCACGCACGGTGCTATAATTCAGAGTGGCTGTGCCTGTAAATGGGCATGCACCCGTTAGCTTACCCCTGATATTGGCATGTATGTATAAGAGCATTTTGGCATCGTATCTCGACCGACCTTGACAGAAGCCTCTCGAAAGTATTTCCCCAGACGTCGTATCATCTGATCTGCGCGGAGCAATGTGTTTCTCTACCTACTACTCTGTTGCCTGTGCGGGGAGGACACAACCCCGGTGATACACCGAGGGCTCCGCCTTCCAGTCTACCGGTGAAAATGCACAAGCTAAGCTGCTCTTCCGGATTATCCGTCCCCACAATGGCTGAATGCCGTACTTCGCGCGACAAGGAACCGATCATCGATTCCTCCAGCATCACCTGGACTTTCTGCCGACCGGGCAGAGAGACTGGTATACTGCACCCTCGTGCTCGAGGGGGTTAGTTGCTTTCCAGTCGGCCGCGGCGATGCAGTACCTGAGCATGCTGCGAAATGACATAACACAGGCCATGCATTGAATTCAAGTCATCGATTGTTGACTGTCTGGACATGGATTATATTTCCAACTTCGAATATACCAAAACTGCCTTGGTACGGTGGGCGTCGCACTTCCGGGGACTGAGTCAGGCGCTGGATCCTGATAACCCAGAGATCTTCATCGCAACTCTGGTCCATCACACTCCGCGATGAGATATGTGAACACTCCAAAGAAGAGATGTGGACTTGCTGGCGGCTGAGGCCCAGGTTTTGACCGACCTGTGCGACAGAGGGGAAATTATAACCATGACCACCTCTGTCAACTCGTGGGTGAGCTTATCATGCTGGTCGACCGATTGACCTTCATGTTCCTGCTCTAGATATCTGGATTTGGTTGGCAGTCTCGGTGCCTTTGCCGATTATCTGTGTGATTTTGGTGGAGTGGAGGATTTCGGTTCGATCATTGGTTGCAAAGGAGTTGGCCCAAGTCCAGTATGCGCATTCCTGATTTCATAGCCTGCGAGTCTCTACTTCACGCGATTTGATATGGAGGGAAAGTAGTGACAGTGTTGGCAGGTGGAATGTGGCGACGATAATCATCGTATAATATTCTGCCCGCCAAGATCGCCGTAAAAGCAAGGGCCCACACTTGTGCACCAGATAAGCGCTAAACTGCTGGCAATTGTACTAGTTGCAACTCTCTCCCAATAAGCATCTCATATGGTCTCCAGCTAAACGCAAAAGTCTTAAGGGTTGGCCCCTGACTCCCTCTTTGGGGATTGTCACCCCGTAGGGGGACGAGGCTGTGCTTGGACCCCAGCGTTTCTGTTGACTAGTCAGGCAAGCCCCTGAACAAGTTGGGTGTTCGTACAAGCGGATCGTTCCGGCTCGCACTTGATCCTTGTCCAATATACTCTGCCTCGTGCCCTGTAACCACAAACTCAACCTTCTCGCTATCTTCTCTGCTCGTGTTCTCGTCGAGTCTCGCAGATCGACTTGTCCAAATTCCAGTCATTGCACATCCGCACAGTATGAAGATTTTTCTCGCTCTCGTTCCGGTCCTTGCCGGCCTTACTGTTGCCGAAGAGGTTGTCTCCATGTTACTGTGGGCCGTTGATCGTGATCAACAGTATGATGCATCGATCGTAGGCAATGTAGGTCACAAGTTGTCTCTTTGACAAGGGGAACAGGAACATCAAGAAGGAGAGATGCTCACACGTAGCCAGGACGCAACGGCGACAACCTACAGCATCGCGTGCCCAACCTCCGCCCATGGCTCCGACTGTTCCATTGGTCGCGCGGGAATCACGGCTGAAATTATTGATACCAGCACTTATGCGTGGTGGCGTAGACAATAGTATGTTCGCCCTCCCCTCCCCTCCTTTCTCTTAGTTCCATTGTTCCATTGTTTCTTCTCGGTTTACTTCCATCTCCCATCCTTCCCCATCATCATCCTGCTCGATAGTGTGCTGTATCTTTATCAGGGAATTAAGGCACTGACATCTGGCTCCCACTCCAGCTCCGACACATGGGCCTGTACGGCGGAGGGTACAACTGACGGCGTCTGCCACCGGACTCTAAGCGGCGAGGACCAAGGGATCGATATATACTTCACGAACTTTCTTTCTGCCACCGTGACGGCCGGGTCGGTGACGGGCGGGAGTTCTATGACGGCGACCGCAACCAGTACCTCAGCCACGGCGTTTGAGAAAATACTGAGTAGTACTTTTGGGCCTTCACCAACGGCGGAACCCAGTACAGAGAAGACAGAAAACGCTGCTGCTACTGCAGCGACGGAAACCTCAGCAGGTGGGGCTCCGCGAGTGACTGCGGCTGCCAGGCTTTTCTTGGGGAGTGCAGGTATTGCACTGATCGGAGCAGCTCTATGAGTGTTTAATACATATCTTTGAGTCTGGAAGAGGAGGTGGTTTGCCTGTAATGAAGTCCATCGGTATTCAGTGCTCAAAAATCCCGAACACTGTATAATTACCTCTGGCAAACCACAGTCCTCCATTGAATATATTATGAACAATACGATAAAAGGGCAGATTTGTTATGATGTATTGATTTAAGAAGTAAGGCTAAAGAAAGAAGCTTACGATGTCAGTAACCTAACACCAAAACCTTGTTCTGGAGGGCATTCTGCGCCTAGTTTCCCTTCGATTCCTGTGCCTGGTTCTCCTCCTGTGCCTGCGCCTGTGCCTCAATCTCATTCATCTTATCGACTAGGGCTACGGCTATTTTCTGAAACTTATCAGAGGCAAAGTCCCTTCCCAGCTCCGTAATACGTGTTTTCCAGAATTGCCAGCGTTCATTACAGAGAGCTGGCTCGCCTCGGTAAAGGGGACCACAATGATAACCATAAATAGGTCGTTCACCACCGAGAAGGATTATGTGATACCACTCAGTGCCTGCATGGACTATCCACTCACGTGCTAGACCAATATTACTATCGACGAGACACTGGATTTGATGGGGATATTCAAGTGATTGGCACATGGAACTCATTCCATGGTCTGTAAACGAGAATAGACATCGTCCTGTGATTCTAGCCCAGAAAGAGTTCAGTGCAAGCCAGCTGGAAACGTCAGTTTCATTTCCTAGTCTGTCTGGAAGGTTTGGGCCCGGACACTCGGAGCCTTCCGGCAGATGAAGCTTACCACAGCATTTTGAGGATGGATCCGGGTCAATCGCCGGTAGCTTCACGTCATATTCCCAATACCAGATGAACATCTCAGGAAAATCTTTCCACATTGTCCAAGTGTCGTCATACTCATCAGTTATTATCTCTTTTGGTTCTAGGTGATGCAGCCAGTATATCAAATCGACTAATCGATGAAGCTGTTCATCGTCGTCGGGACTCAAGGCACAAACGGAACTGATCAATGACGAATCCCAGAAGCCCCAGATACAATCTGTAAGATCCTCACTAGGCGCAGCGTAGATAAGTTTATCAATGAGCTTGGCTCCAGCTGCAGGGTCCACTTCCCCCTCCAGTACTTCCTGCACAATGCCATGTGCTGCCCTCACTGGTTCATGGGGATTTGCGAAAGAAGTGATATTAGGGAACCTTACATTGCACAGAGATGATAGGGTCAAAGGGGGACTCGGTACGTTCTTCTGCAGAGCTTCAGGATTCATGTTCGCTGTAGAAAACATCGTGGCGTTGGGCTGTAAGCCGTTGCTTTCTGTCAGAGGGATTGGGGAGCTTTATATGGTGCGTTCAGACCTACAACATTGAGGATATCTCCGCCAACGCCTTTAAGAATACCAGATTGTTGGTGATTACCTTGTATCTCTTTGTCGGAGTTCTGTTGATACTGATGGTATGGTTATTGCAGTTTGACTTGGAGCCTTCCTTCTCTGCGTCGTCACTTACTAATAAAAATATATCAGTCCTGCCTTTGTTAACTATCGTGAGCAAGACAGATACTCAGTTCTCGTGCACTCCAGGCATGGGTTCAACGCATGGCATAGCCATACCAACACCCAGTGATGAGTGAGGAAGGCCCGGTCTGGTGCATCGCCGCACTGATTTTCGACCTAGCCTCACTTGTCAACTGATATTGCATCGTCATTGCAAGACAGCGCGTTAAACGACCACGACCATGTCCCTTCTATCTCAGCGTTCTGCTCCTCAGGTGAAACAGACTCCCCATCTTTGCCTTTATATCACCCCCGCCGTTTCCCTGCCATTCCATCAACCTTCACAAGATGATCGACCTCTCCAGTATACCACCCACCCACCACCCAACCATCCTTCCTAACAAAATTGCAACTGACTGTTCTCGTTTGCGCGGTTAAAATGTCAAGCCAACAGACTCCAATTCCTGCTGAAGACTTTTACGGATGTCCCCGCTCTGCTGTACCTTTGGACATAGACTGACTAGCAAAAAAAAGTGGGTTTTCCCAGGCTTTGGCTCTCGACATAGAGTGTGGCATAGTTATGCACTAAGGCTTGCAATTGGGGCAGACAAAAGATTCGCCGAGTGTGATGGTTACCTTGACGAAGAGAAGTTCTACCCAAAAGAATTTTACAACGATCAAGAAAACCCGTTGGAGCTACCCGGCTCGCACCCCTACCTTGAATTTCTTGCTTATTCTGATAACGTCAAGGTCTGGGTTCCTGGTCAAAAGCCTTTGGGGATCCGAATTGTCTGGCTTGCCGGTAGGCCAGATCTTTTGGTCTTGGCCTACCATAACAGGAGAGGTATATGGCGCAACGACCGTCAGAACATGGAACTTGCGGTCGCGATGCGAGAAGGCTGGTAGCTGAACGGGTTTCTCTTTCGGGCACAAATTGGATACTTCTCTTCTGTTAGGCGTTGGAGTGTTACGCGTCGGATTCCTGGTGTTTGTTTTTGAACAGTATGTTCGCCGTCGCTGTTACGTTCATAGCCTGTCTGTTGAAACTCATGTTAGTATCTAGGTCTTGTTTGGTTCAATGTGCTTGCCTGTATACCATCTCGGGATAAGCAGATAAACGTATCGTGAAACCCGATACTTACTCTGAAGTTGCATCCTACACTTGCGTACCGTCCTGGGCTGCACTTAAGTGTACTAGGTAGATACCAAGCATACCCTTGTCGTAAACACTACAGTATCAATTGCCTGATGCCTGGAGGCTTGAGGCAGTTAGCGCCTTCCGTATTCGGTCACGGCCATCTTGTATAATGATATGACCGATGGATCTTTTTCTGTGCAACATCATCATTTCACTATCACTGGGGAATTCTTGAGAAGCCCAGGCTTACCGGCATAGCCGCGCAAGCGCGTCACCGGGCTGGAGTAAACTATGATTGGTGTAACTAGCGACGAAAGATTGTTTTGCCAACCGTCCCAATTAAACTATCAACCGCAGTATTTCTGACCTGAACCACCCGAAGATTCATTCTGTTCACTGCTACTGACCACCCACCCAAACTCCACCTGCTTCTGAATCCCCCGGCCAGGCGCTGAGGATGGCCGATGCAGATCCTTGAGAATCTGCTCGATGCTGTCGCCGTCGCCGTCGTCGTTGGGCTTGTGCCCGCTCTCCTCCCCCTTCAACGCGCTCTCCTTCTGGTATGGCCGCGAACGTGACGAGGGCCCCGACAGCTCGTAGGAGCGTGATCGTGCCGCGGCGCTGGATAGCTTCTGCACCGAGGAGATGAGCAGCGGCCGCACGCACGGCACCGACGACGTGATGATGATGATCAGGTTCTCGGCGAAGCCCCACCGGATGAGCTCGACGCCGCCCGACGACCCTAGGTTCGTGACGCTCGGGACTTCTTTCAGTTTGGTGGTTTTGATAATCGACGCGACCATTGCGCTGCGGTATTACAGTTGGTCAGTCAGTCCCAGGTTGGGTCAGGGGTTAAGGCATGCAACGTACACCAGCCCTAGACTCAACAGCACAATCAAACTGATCTTAATCCTAAGGCGGAGGTTGAGATTCCAGAAGATGATCGTGGGGAACACGGCCAGGAACAGATCGGTCGCGGTGTTCACGGCTGGTTGCGTTGATGGATTAGTTGTTGTGGGATTGAAGAGAGGGTGGGGAAAGGTGTACTGACAGGATGAGAAGTACGAGAATCGCACCACGGCCACCACATTCCCGCAGGTCGTCTTGATGCTTGAATTCCACAGGATCCGGTCATCCCGGCAGATGCTGAGCGGCAGGACCCCCGAGACGATGTTGGCCGCCAGCTGCAGGACCATCGCCACCCAGAGTGCGATCTTGAATCTCTTGTTGCCGCCCAGAATGCCTAGCAGGTAGATGACAAACGACGCTCGCGCCAGCCCCGTGCTGATCGTCACCAGCGGAATCTCGATCGCGATGTACTTGAGGATGTGTTCCACGTTCGGCGTGGGGAGCGTGCGGAGATCCCCGCCGAAGCCTTCTCGTACGGAGAGTGTCAGTAGCACTGTAGACGAGACCGTTAAGCCCTAGGAGCATGGTGCATGTCAATAATGGTACAAATGCTTGAGTATTTGGGCTGGGTGGAAGATAGGACATGAAGGAGGCATACCCAGGCTATGAACATCAACGCATCATCGATGAAGATCTGACGGATCTTGATCTTCGCGATAACGCGGAGGATGAAGATGATAGTGGCTATGGCAACGGCCGCCCACATGCCCTTATCCAGGGCCGAGCCGGCGCTGTGCGTTTCACCAGAAGCCATAGTGACGGCCGGGGGAAGTGAAAAGGACTTGTGACGGCGCCGATCATGCAGCGGATAGATAGGGCTGCCGTGCTGGTCTTATTTAGTTTCGTCTGCGGTGAGGAAGCATCGGAAGTCGAAAAATTAGGGCTGGGTGAATTAGACTTTGCCCACGATCCCTCGGACAGGAACCCGGAATGTACTAGTTGTAGCCTAGGATCGAAGAAGAGTGAGAACCGAGCCTCCGGGGCTCTGGCCACCCACGGGCAAGACATACGCTGACCTAATTCAGGTGTTTCCCTATCAACGATGGCTCAAGCCCATGACTTCCTGCCAATGACCATGGTGAGTAGCAATAGTCAAGTTCCTGGGATGCGGGCCCTTCCGAAACACCGTGCAGCCAATTTAGTGGTTTTGCCACGAGGGGAGCAGAGATCGGCAGATACATTCATTCATTCATGCACTGATCAGCGCCAGTTCCGCTGGTCCAAGCTCCAATAGCGCAGTCACCAGGTCAGAATTGGCTGGTTCAAGACCCACCGCAGGTGGCAGTTAAGGTTCGATGGCTTGACAAATGGCTTTCACCACCGAGATTTGCGAAACTTTGTTCTTGCTCGGTACCAGACAGTAAGACAACCAGGTACCCGTTTCCTCCTTTCGCGTCCAATGGCACACTTTCCAGGGACCCGCGGTGTTCCGACTGGTGAAGGCGCTCGAACCATGATGGCAATTGTGCTTCGTGGGCAGAGTTGAAGTTCAGTAATCTCACCTGATTGACTGGGTGCGTTTGATTGGGGATTAGAAGAAAACAACACAGAAAGCAACTGGGGAGGTAAGCGTTAGTTCTTTGAAAATCCCTGTTCTATCTACTTCAGTTGAAACTATAGAGAATTTCCAGCAATCTGCAAGAGCTTACCGTCCTACTAGCTTGTTCTGAAGAGAAGGGGGGAAAATGCCCTTTTCCCTTTTCATACTGCAGCACAACCCCCTCTCCCCACCAGAAAAACGTCAGGCGCCCAAACCACTTTTCAAGTCCGGCCTTAGGGTGAGTATTTCTACTAGCTCTGATTTGATATATTCTTATTTCTCCCTCTCAAAGCCTTCAAATCTTTTTCATTGACAACCACGGGAAAACCACTCATATCATTTACTAACATCCAGCGCCTTCGCATCCCCAAGCCTAGTACACATACACAAAATCCTCATTCCGGAGATCCGTGACATCATGCAACCCATTATCCTCCTGGATCGCCTGCCGGTAATCCCGTACCTGCTCGAGCTGCACCGCGTCCCCCTTCAGCTGCGTGTCGCCTTCCTCCCGCTCCTCTGAGCCCGGGTCGCCCTTGCCCAGCTCTCGCCGCTTCTTCGCGTGCTGGCGGTTCAGGAACATCAGGTAGAATGGGATGAGTCTATAAGAACAAGTTCCGGTAATGTTAGTAATTGTTTCGGGTGGTCTCGCAATGATAGAAGGATCAGGGAGACACGCACGCAGAAACAACCCCGACGCTGATAAACATTACCAGGTTCGCGATCAGACCGGGCCGATAGCGGGGCGCGTCGGCGGTGGAATAGAGCAGCGGCCCGATGACGTTGCCGGCGCACATACCCACGAAGACGACGCCCGAGGTGCACTTCTTCTTGGTGTCGCCGGCGGTGTTCTGGGCTTGCCAGGCGTAGATCAGCGGGGTGATGGCTGCCAGGGTGGAGACCTACGTGGAGAGATTAGCTGGGGGTTACGCCCGAGGGAAAAGGCTACACATCATCGGCGATGAAGAGACATCGTACCAGATAGTACCCAAACAGCAGCACGCCCTTCTGCTCCCTGGGGACGGTGAGCATGAGAATCGTTCCGATCGTGGGCAGGACGCTGACGCCCGCGATCGTCCACCCCTTCGACCGGATGCGCGTGGCCAGCCACCCCGTCCCGAGAATGGCGAGCACCTGGATGACGCCGAAGGGGATATTGAAGAGGATGGTGGCGAAGCTGCCGAAGCCGAAGGAGCTGACGATCAGAGACCCGAAGGTGCTGATGCCGCCGCTGGCGATTCTTTGTGCGGGTTGTTAGTCTCCCCCCGGTGGGAGTGAGGAGGGCAGGGGCCACTCACGAGATCGTGATGATAGCGACGAACCAGCACCAAGTCTTCAGATCCAGGGCCGTCTCGCGCACGTGGTCCCAGCGCCACTGTCGCGTGGCGATGCCCATCTGGTTTGCACGCAAGCGCTCGGTGGCGATGACGCGCTCGCGCGTCGTCAGATACTTGGCCTCCATCGGCGAGTCGGGCATCAGCCACAGCACCAGACCCGAGTACGCGACCGTCAGCAGTCCGCAGAACAGGAAGATGGTCTGGTAGCGGTAGAGGGTGCTGTGATGAACGTGGCCGAGCCCGTAGGTCACCAGACTGCCCACGATGGAGGTGACACCGTTCATCGCGTTCCAGTAGCTGGTTCGCATCGTCTGCTCGCTGCGCCGCCACCACATCTGCGTGATGGCCACGCAGGCGGGCGCGATGAACGCCTCGAAGGCTCCTAGCGTGAACCGCAGCCCCAGCAGCGACGGGAAGTCGGTGCACGCTGCCATAATTGAGAGCGACGTCCCCCAGAGGAAAATCGCTCCGCCGAGCACCTTGCCTGTTGGCAGTTTGACTAGGATCAGCGCCGCCACCGGCTGCATGACTAGCTCTGCGAGGTACAGGATCGACCCCAGCCATGAGTATTGTCGGCCGTGCAAGTGCGCATCTTTTGACAGGCCGAAGATGGACACGTAGCTGAAGTTTTGTGTCAATTCGGAGACCGTGGTAGTATCGATGGGGATGCAGCACAAACAGACCTCAGCGAGCTCTTATCCAGTTGCTGGAAGAAATATGCCCACAAGATGAGAACCAAGACGCGTTTGTCGATCCGCCGTAGCACCTTCTTCTCCTCCTCGGGGCTGAAGTCGACTTCCTCCGCCGCGCGATGGGCCAAGAACTCGACCGCATTAGAGCTCGTGGTGTGAGACTCAGGTCTCACCGGGGAGATCTCGTCGCTATTCTCAGGCGGCATGATGCCTACTATTGAATGGTCGGGCAAGAAAGGACTAGTCCACACGCTTGTTGGATGAGGTTCCCATACCTGTCGGTCAAGGGGTTCTTATATCGATCCGCCAACCCAGCGTCGGGTCACGGGGATTTGGAATATAACCAGCAACCTAGATTGATCTGGTTTTCGCACCAATAGATAGGGCAAGGAGACATAAGCTCACCCAAAGATAGAGGTCCTCGGAGGTCTACTGTACCAGGGATGAGCTGGAGCCAAGCCTGTGGCGTTTCGACCCCGGTGACTTACCCCACGAACCCCGCAAAATTCTGGATTTATCCTCACTGTCACCTTTTTCCGGTCATTTCAGCCGTCGGGTTGCTTTGGCCCGACCTATGTTGGGTTCTGGTTGGCCGCGGGTGCTCACTCATCGAAGGGACATTGATTCAAGGACATTATTGCAGGTATGGAAACATATCCTCCCAAATCTTTACCTCAATATTTACTAAGCGGGCATAATAAGATGCAACTTTTGGTCTATGCAAATGAGGGCCAACGGATTAAGCGTGTTCAAGAAAATTAATATGTGTGCGCTGGCATCATGCCAAAAATTGGCTAATCAGGGCAAGTCGAGAATGTCGCGGACGTCAACAACCTGCCCGGTACGAATGGCGCGGTTTGCCGCCAGCCCCGTCAGAATCGAGGCCGCCCCATCTACATGATTTGCAGCACGCCTATACTCCTCGTCCTTGGGGCTCTCACCCCCAAAGAGCTCCGCCAGCAAGCGATTGTCACCCCCGCCGTGGCCGCCGGCAGCCTGTTCGATCGCGATCTCGCGCGGGGCCTCGAAGAGCGGGCGCAGTAACAGGGTGATACGCTCGGCGGCGCCCTCCAGGGCCTGCTCCCCACCAGAATTCACATAACTGCTCTCGACAACCTCGGCCTCCAGGCGCCCACCGGTGCCGTTGAAGCTCACGCGGAACCCTTCCCAGGGAGCATACGCAGTCAAAGAGTAAGTCAAGACGGCGCGATTCTCGTAGCGCACCATGACGTTCATGGTATCGTCGATGCTGATACCATCTCCGAATACGCTCTGGTCGCGGTGATAGCCGTCCTCATGCTCCGCATCGAGATACAAGGCCTTGAGGGTAGGGTTGCGGTCCAAGTGCAGCGCGAACGGGTCGTTTGCGGCGGCAGGGCTGCCGTGCGCGCGGGCGTAGAACTCCTTCACGCCACGGGATTCAGCGTTCTCGCGACCGTAAAATCGCATGTCGCCCTGCGCGAACACGGTCGCGGGCCGCGACTGCAGCCACCAGTTCACCAGATCGAAGTGGTGGGTGGCCTTGTGCACCAGCAGCCCGCCGCTGTTGCGCGCGTCGCGATGCCAGCGCCGGAAGTAGTCCGCCCCGTGGGAGGTGTTGAGCATCCATTCGAAGTGCACGCTCGTCACTGTTCCGATCGCTCCGGACCGTAGCACCTCGTAGATCTTGCTGTTGTGCGGCGCGTACCGGTAGTTGAAGGTAACGCGCACCCGGCGCTGCGTGCGGTCGACGGCCGCGAAGATCTCCCGGCACCGCGGCGCATCAATCGTCATCGGTTTCTCGGTGATCACATCGCAGCCCAGCTCCAGTGCCCGGATGATGTACGTGTGGTGCGTGCGGTCGATCGTGGTTACGATGATTTCGTCCGGCTGCGTCTCCGCAACCATGCGGTCGAAGTCGGCCGCTAGGTAGGTGGGCACGCGCCCGGCCTCGAGGCTTTCGATCTTGGAGCGGGCGTAGTTGAGGCGCGTTTGGTTGGTATCGCATAGTGCGACCAGGACACTGGTCTCGGCGAAGTCGCGCGCCAGGCTGGTGTAGTAAAGTCCGGCTCGGCCCCCGGTCCCCACGAGCGCATATCGTCGTCTCGGAGACGACGAGGCTGACTGTGTCATGATGGGTTTGTGTGCGTTGCTAGCTGGAGTGGAAGGTAGGGTCTACCTTACTGAACCCGAGGCGCTTGGGTATTTATATGGTGATGCGCCTGTCTTTTGAACTAATCTGATTGATGGCATTTCGCCGGGTATATCGTTTCATTGCCGGGTGAAAGCGTGTCACACTGAGCCTGGTATGTACATCATGAAACTAACAAGCCCTGTCAAGTGAACTATACCCCGCACAATTCGCGGGGTATCCCGTCTCTAAAAGCGGGGTTCGTCCAAGCATCCATGCCAAGAAGGGGCTTATCTATCTGAGGACTCTTTACAGTGGGAGGAAATTAATATGCACCCCCCCTCAGAAAGAGTTCAGCACTTTCCCTAATCAAGTCTAGCCTATGGCTATTCTGCCAGCTTCTTCCCATATATTTTAGGCGGTGTGTGAG